ATCTACTCATTCTTGCATTCATCTATCTATTCATTCCTGCATTTATGTATCTATTCATTCCTGCATTTATCTATCTATTTATTCCTGCATTTATATACATATTTATTCCTGCATTCATCAATCTATTAAATACTGCATTCATCTATCTATTTATCCCTGTATTCATATATCTATTCATTCCTGCATTCATTTATATATTCATTCCTGCATTCACCCATATATTCATTCATGCATTTATTTATCTATTCATTCTGGCATTCATCTATCTATTCATTCCTGCATTCATCTATCTATTCATTCATGGTTTCATCTATCTATTCATTCTTGCATTTTTTATATATTATCTATCCCTTCATTCCTGCATACCTATCACTCCTGTATGCCGAGTCAATTAGCGGCTGATCCAATCAGGGTTCAGTCATGTGTTTGTTGTCTATTCTGAACAAATAGAAAAATTATGGCGGTAACATCTATCTTTCTATATCTATCTAATTATCCAATTAGAGTTATGAATCCTTCAATCGGCGCTAACAGTATTTGGAAATATTTACTTCTACTGAAACTATATATATATAGCTATAAATATGTATCGTTCATATATCTATTCATTCTGGCATTCATATATCTATTCATTCCTGTATTCAGATATCTATTCATTCTTGCACTCATCTCTCTATTCATTCCCGCACTCGTATATATTTATTCATTCTGGCATTCATATATCTATTCATTCTGGCATTCATATATCTATTCATTCTTGCACTCATCTCTTTATTCATTCCCGCACTCGTATATATTTATTCATTCTGGCATTCATATATCTATTCATTCCTNAAAGTATGTTAATTGAAATTAATGCTAATTTCAGTCTGTATGAGATATGGCAAGATGAATGCGCGCATAAGCTGCATGCAAGTATAGTTGTCGTTTAGTGAATCAGTATTGTCTTCCATGGTTAATGGTGAGGCCGGACTAGGGCTAGGGATAGCATAGTAATTAACTAGAAATTAACTTTAAATTTTTTTCTGAAAAAACAGGTCGTTTCGTTAACGACGTAACAAGAACGAAATATGTAACGATCGTTTTCAAAATTAAAAAAAGGAAGTAGCATTTTTTATTTTAATTCGTCGGTTGAGTAACGCAGGAATCGTTAACGATAGTACCTGTGTACTCGCTGCGTTAATGATAGGCAACAACGAACCTTTGTAAACGATCGTTATCGACGACGAGATGATGCCGATGACAAATACCTTACTCGTCTTCTAATAGATTGAAGCGATCAAGGTAAAAACACCAACTTAAAAAGTCTCCCAACAAATAGTCGCGTTATTTACTGGACAATTTCAAGTAGTGTTTCCACTTTATAGATTCACCCACTTCGACCATCTCAGTCACCTACCTAGCTAAACATACATTTTTTAGATATGATACAATTGTATGTCATAAACCCCTCAGACAAGATATCCCTTTGTTCTATAAAGTTTACTTCAAATAGAAATGATATATAGGACTAGGCTTTTATTTCAATTGTGGATTTTCAAAATTTTCAACAATTTTGTTAGAGGCAACTGCAAGTTTTTTAAAATTCGATTATCCATAAACCTTCCTGGGGTCACGCGAGGTTCCACATGAAACTTTGGCCCGATCGGTTCAGTCGTTTTGACATTATTGGATAGACACCCTGACAGACAAGCAAAGTATTTATATAGATGACATTCATAAATAAACTTCTTTTAATACAAAAACATTTTTAGCCCATGTCGTTTTTTCAGTATAACTAACATATCTTGTTTTTGTTTTCAAAAATTCAAAACTAGCAATTCATTAATTTTAACCCTTCATTTTTTAAAGAAAAAAAATTAAATATTTAAACTTTAAACTACCATAGAACAAAAAAACAGGATTAATATTTGATCTTAATTATATATTTCTACAAGTTTTAGTTTACATTTGTTAGAAACTCGTTTGTGAAGTAGTAGTAGAGACCATAACTCCAGTAGAATACAGAGAACACTAAGATTACAAATGGAATCATGTACCAGCTAGGAGGCATTTACTGCAGAGCT